GCACCAGCAAGGCGCCACGTAGGAACCTTCTTGGGCACAGAGAACGCGCAACGCCAGCCCCCCCGCCCCCCAGGAGAGGGCTGGGGCAGGGCGGGCCTGTCGCCTGTGCCCTGCATGTGAAAGCCACCCCACTTCCACGCCCTGAGCCCTCAGCTGCACAGCACTTTCCTGAGCTTGGGGTGCTGTGCTGTGGTCTAGGGAAAGGGAGTCACTGAAGGGGTCCTCTAAGTTTCTGTAGAAATTTTTCTACATGTTGGATTCCTGCTATAAAGGAAACTTCCTCTTAATACCTTCCTAGCTTTGGCTCAAACCACACGGTCATCCTGAAGCGGACTGTGGTGTCACGACCATGGGCCGGCCGGGGAGCAGGTGCCTGGGCTGCTAGCCTATGTCCTATGCTCCACACTCTGCCACGCCCCTGCCTTGCTGGGTGCAGAGCCAGGGCCACCAACCTGGAGACAAGAGCAGTAGGTAACTAGGTCAAGCCCAGCATTGGGACACTGAGGGCTCTCGGGGAGACTGCAGTGTCTGACCACCACCACCCCCATGCCACTGCCCACGGGTCTCCCGCGCCCTCTACCCCGCCCACACCTCCAGCTGCCACAGGCACCCTCTGCACACGCCCCAGATGACTGTAGCAGGTGGTGCCCCCACTGGGCTCCCTCAGGGTGGGCAGGGCAGCCAACCGTCTTTCCCTCCAGGTTACCCCAAGTACCCGCCCTGGCCCACGCCCGTGGGAGATGCCGGGCGCAGAAAGCACTCGACTGAGTCCCTCACCTGGGGGGCTGCAAGTGAGCACTTGTTGGTGACGGGGCTCACTGTCGAGTAAGGCGGTCAACAGCTACCATGGAGGTGGTCACTGGTGATGCAGGCCATCGAGGATGAAGGCCAAAGTACTCAGGAGAGAGACGCCCAGGATCTGCGTCCAGAGGTCCATGGCCCCCACCTCTGCCTCTCCTGGGAATGTGTTAGAAACACTGCCTCACCTGCAAGAGACTGCAGGCTGAGGACCTGAACCCCAGTGTGGTGGCATCTAGAGGCGCAGGAAGGTGTGGGGGAGGTGACTAGGTTTAGGTGGGTCATGAGGGTGAAGGCCCATGATGCGCTCTCGTCCCACTGCCATGGCAGGACACAGCAGGGTGTCAGGAAGAGCCCTCACGCCAGGGCTCAGGCTCCAGCCTCCGGACTGTGAAAAACACGTTCCTGTTGTTTCAGCGCCAACAGGACGTGGCACTTTGTTATGGCCTCTGGGCTGACGGAGAAACCACTTTCACCGCAGACCTGCGGGAAGAGAACCTGCACCCCAGCAAGAGCTCTGGGTGATCCTGATGCGCGCGTGGGTTTGAGTGGTGACCTCGACCTGCCCCTTCCTGAACCTCTGGGAAACCACGGGTGAGAGCGGCTGCAGCCTACGCGAGTCACCTGCAATCACCCAGCTAAGCAGTGGCAGAGCGAGAGTGTGGGCCAGGTCTCCTGCGGCTCAGGCCAGCGCACCAGCACAGACCCAGAGGGGCTTTGGAGTGAGGGACCCCCACAGTGACATGAGCCCAGACCTCCTGGGCTCCAGAACACATCCGTGCCCAAGCAATCCGGGAGGAAGAGGAGCCCAGACAGCAGGAGGCCAGCTGAGTCAGCGTGCTCATGGGAACGCATCCCGCTGACCAGCTGGAAATGGAGCCAGACACTTGTGTGGTGAGGGCTGCTCCATCATCAAGCCCAAGCAGGGCGAGATCAGCCAAGAAAAGGCGGACAGGGGGCCAAACAGCCCATTTGCAGTAATGAAAAGGGTTGGACCGGAGAGTCCAAAAGCCCAGCGCTCATCATTTGGCCAAGCTAAAGAAGCCAGGGAGCTGCAGGACTAGGAAGTAGCTGAAAAGTTATCTGTTCAGCCGCTGCTCAGACTCTGCCCTCTTGGCCAGCAGCGATGCTCCCGGGGGCTTGCCAGCCCCGCACACCTCAGCTCCCCACCAGGGACTGGCCGCTTACTTTCAAAACTCTGATCACTTTGGCCCAGCAGATTGAGATCCAGGACCCTAGGCAACAAACCCAAGCCTGAAAACACTGGGCGCACAAATGTGTTTCTTCCAGAACGCGTAACTAGAGCTGGATGGCGTAAGCGGAGAGAACAAGAGGGAGAAAGTACTAGCACCCCTGACTGAAGAGTTCTCTGAAGAATGCGGCCCACAGCAGCAGGAGCAAGGGACACCCATTCGGTCAGCCAGATGGGGGGTCAGTCCTGCCGATCAATAGGATGACAGATGTCATGGGCAGAGACAGTCACAGCAGGGGTCGGCCCGACCATATATATGTTTGACTTTGCAGGTCATGTGGCCTAACCCTTCTGCACCTGCACCACAGTGTGAACACAGCATGGTCGATCGGTAGATGAATGAGTGTGACTACATTCCAATAAAACTTTATTGACAAAAACAGGGGGCAAGCCGCAGTGAGCCTGGGGCTATCATTTGCTGACCCCTGATCTCCAGCATCACATTTTTTTTATTTCTAATGGCAAGAAAAGGAAAAAAATATATATATATATCAGAAATGCCCGACCTAGGGAAATGGTTTGTGCGATTGACTCCTGGGTCCGTACTTATAGAGTCCTACTCTTGTGGGACACAGCGCCGGGCGCACCGAGCTCCCTGCGCCAAGAGGACACATGGCACGCGATAGGGAAGGCTTACATGATGCTATGAGGAAAGCAAACATGCTGCTGTGTGTAAAATAAGACCAAACAATCTCTAAAACACACACAAGGGAAAAGAACGATGAAGGAACAACATCGAAATGTCACTGCTGTTTACCTCTGCTGCCGCCACGCCCCCTCTTACTTCCCCGTTTCCCATATGCTCGTGTCACTTTTATAGCAAGACGCTCCTCCCTGTGGCCTCTGAAATGGGCGCTCCCCTTGATTTTAAGCTGAGAAGAGGCCCACTGCATCCACCAGCAAAGCCGGCCGCTGGAGGCGCTAGGCAAGGGGAGGGGAGCGCCTGTCCCGTTCAGCACCAGGGACAGCGCCGCGCGCCCAACCCAGAGGCCTGAATCGGAATGGCCAGACCCACCCACCAGCCCTTCCTCTCAGGCACACTCCTGCCGGCCAGCCCCTGACAGCCCCGTCAGAGGAGCCCCACTGAAGCAGGACACTTGTCCCAGGAGCCTGGCGGAGCCAAAGCCGGTGTCCCCTGCAGGGAGGAGAGGCGGTCCGGTTGTTGGTAAAAAGGAAGCTAAAACAAATACTGCACGGCTCCCTTTGCCCACATTATTAGCTTGGGAGAGACTTGCAAACATGCCAATACTAGTCACAGCAACATCTGCCTCTAATTGCTTCTCCCCCAGCATCTCTGCAGCGCGTCAGCTGGCGTCTGCCTGAGGAGAAAATCCAATATTTTTAACAAACTCTTAAATCAGACGGCGTCCTTGGTGAGCAGTCGCTTACGTGTTTGGTCTTCGCAGCTAGACAGCCGGCACGCCGAGGGGCAGGGCCGCAGCGGGGGCTGGCGGGAGTGTCTCCTAGCCCTGGCACAGGCCCTCTCTTACCACACGTCTACCCCAGATGCACGGCTTCTGGTGGGATTTTACTTCCACCATACACACCTCTTTACGGATAGCATTTCTCTTTTCCAAGTATTTTTGTAAGTTTCTTTGTATGAAAGATGTCTTCTTTTTTTAACAAGTGTATTTCTCTTTGCTCTAATTCTCCCGTTTCTGATACACGTGAAACAAAACACCCCACCCTCCTTAGAGAAACTGTCTAGGCTTCTCAGAACCACCCCCCGCCGGGAAAGCGCTCCCGCGGGGCTGAAGGGCCAACTCAGATGTGGCGGCGCCCCCGACACTCGGGCACACCTGCGGGACCTCCCCTGCCCTTGCACTGCAGATGCAACAGGTGACGGCTCCCCAGGTGGGGCCCCAAATCCCAGTGGAGGAGGAACTCTCTAACATTCCTCACCCGCTTTCAAAGTCAAGTTCAACACAGGTTTTATCATGAACCTCCCATTAGAACTATGCCTCCTTCTGGGCCCTCCCTGGTGACGCAACAGGTTAAAGCGCAGCACTGCGAGACTGGCCATCGCCGCTTCAGCACGAGTTAGATCCCTGGCCGGCCAGGGAGTGACTCACAGTGTGCAGCAGACCTCTTCTGACCCACCCGCTGCTCCCCTCAGCAGTGTACTTCATTGACCTACCTGGACATGTCTTCTAGGGAGGGCCAGGCTGGAGATAAGAAGGGCCCGGGGGACGGTCAGCAAGGCCTATGGACTCTCATCATGAGTGACCAGGGCAGTGACACTTCTGACTCACTGCAACCGGCCCCCCGGCCATGTTGAAAGCAACCTGAAAGGGGCCGGAAAGGAAGGCGACCTCGGTGCATCTCCCAGCCGAAGAGGCAATGGCTTTGTCCATGGCTTAGGTGGGTGGGGGAGGACGGCAGGGGGAGCAGAAATGGGAGGGACCTGGTGGTCTGGGCCTAAACAACCTGAGGGAGGGAGGAGTGCCATTTGGGAAGCTGTGCGGGCCACAGGAGTGGCAGGCAGCGATGCAGGGTGGGTGTGGAGCCCGCTCCTCTGTGGGCCTGGCCGTGGCAAGCCAGAGGTCCCAAAGGGAACACGGTTTGGTCTCAGAAGCCCTCCTGGCACCAAGCTGAAAACACCTGTCCCCAGGAGTGCTGGCCCCTCTGCCCCGAGCACCACACACCTCCCTGCACTGTCTACATGGTGACAGTGGTGTCTCGAGGGCCTGAGGCGGCTCATCACACATTACCAATAGCACTAGCACACACAGGTGTTCCTTATTTTTGGTATCAGCTGTATCTGAGTGTCTGTGATGTTTTAATAGTGCATCAGCTCTCAGTGTTCTTTTAACGCCATGCTTACCACTGACTACTGAGTGGTAATGATTCTACTTCAAGGGTCCTATCTAGAGATGCCCGCCTGCCCCAATCACTCAAAGCGACGAGGCCAGCTCCCAGGGGAAGGGCCACGTGGCGCAGACGCCATTACCTTGCCGACCCTCACGTCCCACGCTCTGACCTCGGAGCTGAAGCCACCACACAGGAAGACGCTGTGGTCCTGCGGGTGGAACTTCAACGCAGTGACTCTGAAGTCACTCTGACCACTGAGCAGCTGCGTTCCTAAGACAGAAAAATACGAGAGAGAATCAGAAAACGCCTTGGTGACAAAATAAGCATCTCAGCCAAGCGGTCACCCGGCACGGTCCTGGGGCGGCCTTCCAGAAGCACACAGCACACACACCGGAGCACCCACCCTTAGGAGATGCACCTGCAGCCGCTAGGCTAGGCCAGGGGTCCAGCCTCACAAATGCCACCCACACGTGCTCCATGAACATGACACGTGTTGATACACTGAAGCCACACACATCACCCTAAACCCACTTCACAGGTGAAAAGCCAAGGCTCGGGGAGGTTGAGGAACATTTCCAAAGCCTCAGCTCGTACAGACGGTCATCGACCTAGGAGTCAAGCCTAGGACGCGTCCAGCGAGTCTTTCTAGAACAGTCGCCTAGTCATGCTAACAGTGAGTGTGTGCCAACCCACACATGGCCTGTGTGGGATGGGACGGGTAGCTGTGGCACGACTCTCTGGGTGGATGGCCGAGCGGCGTGGGGGCCGGCCCAGCATGGCAGGCGGTGTGGCCTCGGGCATCACTGTTTCTACGGGCCAGGGGTGTCCTCCAGCGCCTGTCCTGAGGCTGCTGCCCAGCCCTGGGTGCACTCTCACACACGCATGCGAGCTGTGGACAAAGCCCTTTCTCCGCCGAGGTATTCAGGAGACGAGCTGCGTGAGCCGGAAACGATGGTCCTGGGGACAGCCCAGCCTGGGCCCAGGGAGCAGGGGTCTTGTCCTGTGTTTGTGCTGAAGTCACATCGCATCATACTATCGTGTAAGCGTCGGGTGCTCCCTGGGCACCAGCACGTGCATCTACTCTTCAGCGTCCACTGTAAACCCAGATCCATCTGAGAGGGGTGATGCTGGGCTCCAAAACCAGTCTCTGTCCCCCTGAATGCCGCCTCGTGCCCCACAGCGCCAGCCACAGGTGTCCAGGCTCCCACTCAACTTCACTGACACCACAAGGCCGGGGGGGGCCTGGGGCCCTGCTGGCCAGAGCTGAGTGCCACCGCCTCTGCGGGTGCCATCACTGGCCGGGCCAGCGGGCCGCATCCCTGCTCACACGCAGGGTGAAGGTGGCATCCCTCAGAGACGTGGATAAGAGCTCTTACAGCCCAGGAGGGGCCTCACCCACCAATGGACTCCTCCACTGGACTGACGTGGTGGACAGTGGCCCGAGAAGCCAGTGGCCACAGAGACCAAGGCCACGCCCAGAGCAGCCCAGAGGCACAGCTGTATGCCAGTCAGAGGCGGCTCTGTAGGCAGCCTTGCTTCGTGTGGCAGACACCCACGCCTGTGTGGGCCCTGCGAGCGCCTGGGGCGAGGAGCTCAGCGTTACCTCTGAGCTGCGGCCGGCCCTTTGCAGATCTCGCTCGCCGCCCGACGCGGTCCGACACTGCCCCACCCCGAAAGCCTCCGCACCTCTGGCCGTGCCCCGGAATGTGCGGTTCCAGGGTGCCACTGTGCCCAGGAACGATGAGCGCTGAAGCAAACACCAGAAAGGAACATTTTGGAAGATGGGACAAGGACAAAATAACTGGTGTTTTAAAATGTCTTTAATATGCCACGGCTAAGAATGTCAGCACTCTGCTTTGAAATCAGTAAATCAGGAGTTGGCGTATTTTTAGTGCGCGCCCCAGGACTGAATGTGCCCCCTCCCCCTTTTTGACTGCAGGGAATCGTCTGTGTCGTGGTGATCTGAAAGCAGCCCAGTCACAGCGCCTGTCAGGGCCACGGCACAGTGCTCCCGGAAACAGCTGGAAGGTTCCCCACCAGCGACCGGCACGTCCTGGCCGCACCCACCGCTGACGCAGGGGCCGGCCGGACCGTCACTGCTGAAGTGCCATTTGCTGTGCTGCAGTCACGGTCCTGGGTTACTCGGTGCCCGACCACGCTCAGCCCCTGAACCGCCGACTCAGTCCACTGCAATTTTCAAGGAGAGAATTTTTAACAGATTGGAAAAACACTGTGCCCAGATTGAGGGTCCATCATTACGATCTAATAAAAGACATTAGAATTTTTAATGGTGACACACGTCATTTTTGGCAACAAAAATAGCAGAACAACAAAAACATCTGTTTTCAAAATGTTCCTTCCGCAGTACGAGTTTCTCGGAAAGCAGTAGCTCGCTGTTTTTCGCTAAAACGTCGGCGTTACCTTGATGGTGAAGGGTGCGGGCTTTCCCCTAACCTTCCAGGGACTCACAGCTGCGGCCGTGTGGCATCAGAGCAAGCTTTGGAACCAGTCGGCTTTCGGTCAGTGAGCACCTGCGTGGCACGACCGTGGCAGCTTTGCTGCGAGAAACCACGTGCCGAGTCCGTGGGCTGGGGGAGGGTCACGGCTGTGCGGTCAGGGCTGCCCTGCGGGCGTGTCGCCCACAAAGGTGACGGGCGGGCCAGGCCCCCAGCACAGGGGCAGGCACACAGGGCTCTGGCCTGGCAGAACGCTGAAGAACCATTCAAAACAGGAACCACAAGCAGAGCTTGGGGCCAACGAGTCTTGGCACCTGTTCTCCCATTACGAGTGCCGAGGATGGTGAGATGGGCCAGGGCCGAAAGAGATTCGCCACGAGTGTCCAACTGGTAGTTTTGTTTGTTTTTGTTTTTTTTTATAATATAATAGTTTATTTTTACATCGTTTTGTACATTTTTTTTATCTCAATTGTAATCCCCGTGGGTTTCCCATCACCAAGTCACCCTGTGCCATCATCATAGTCCCATGCACTTCCCTCCCCCCCCTCCCGTTTTTGATCCCATTCCCCACTCCACCCCCACAAAATGTCTCTGGTATATG